ACCGCCCCACATATATTCCTACAGCGGAGCGAGGCTGTGGCGGCGAGATGGTATTGAATCGACATGCGGAGCCCAATTCCAATATTTGATATAACCAAGGCGGGCATGTCCTTGTATTGGATTAGGGTCGGGTCGACAGCGAGGTCGAACCACAGCTGAATACTAGAGCATTTCATCCGCCAGCAGACTGAGTGACTTTGGGTGGTGTAAACCGTTAGTGGTCGCATACGCCAAGCTCTACAGCGTCGAGTTCATTACCTGTCACTCTCAATCAATATCTATATTTGCTAATTAGACTTCCAATCGTTTAATCCTTTGTAGAAAATAACGACTCTAGGGCCACTATTGGGCAGTTCGCGACATCCTTGGTCGCCAAATGTCCAAATAATAACAGGCGTATAGTATAGCCGGCGGTTGCTGTCCTTTCCTCCACGATTTTAAATGCTGATAAAATTGATGCATGACGTCCTGTACTGTCCCCTTTTCGGCGTGTTTGGTTCCCGTTGGACTCCACACGGTCAACAGGAAGTGACGCCTTCCCGTTACCAGTGCCACCACCTGTCGCTCGTGCGAACGGTCGGCCGCACCGAGATTTCGGTCCCAGCACTCACCACCTGTAGGTATACCACCGCACTGTGTCCTGAGGAGACGCAGCGGGGGTCATACGGTATGCACCACGCTGGGCACCGGGGTGCTCTGGGAGCATTTATTACGGTGGGCAGATATGTCCTGTGTTACTACGGTGAGAATGATGAGAAACGGATTGTCTGACAAGACAGCTTTCCTTAAGCATGGTTATTGGTTATTGACCCCATAGCCAGAGCCACCAACTCAGGACGTTCGTTACAGTATCCAGAGCAGGAGACACTGCATCTTACAAGACTATAAACTTCCAATACCCCCTGTCTTCAGCTTCGATGCAGCAGAGAAGTCTGGCCGTCGCGATGCCTGTGAATGGCGGCGAGTACTGTGGCAGTGTGCAGCGGTGCTGAAATGTCCTAAGAGTGGCAAGAGCTAACACAGCTCAGTCAGGTAGCAGGCGTTTACTCACCGTGGAATACAGTCGTCACTGCGGGACTCCCCACTCACTGAACATTACACTCGAGTTCTGACGGACCGGACGAAGGTCTGTGAGCTATCCTCTCAGCGAGCCAGCCAGCCAACTCGCAGACTTATCATTTATTCAGCGCGCTGGAGTTAGACCTTGTGGTGAATCGTCAATTAAAAATGAATGCTCGGTAGCCCCTTCTTATCGAACACGCCAACAAAGCTCACCCAGAACAGGTTCACCGCAGTGAAGCTCTCAATTGTGCCGCCGAAGTGAGTCCCGAAATGGCGACTATCTTCCGTAACGTCTCATATCTTCAAAGGATCTCCTTGTCACGCCATTGTGACCGAACCACATTGACCCCCTATTAACCCGCGCCCTGCTGGGGGGGGGGGGGTGTTTGAACACCCCCCCCTTCTAACTCGGCTCCTGGGCCACGTAGCGATACGCGGAAGGCGGCGTTCGAAAGAACGCCAAAAATAATGAGGAAATCACTTCGGTCAATTTTTTGGTCAGGTCAAAGGTCAGGTCACCAGAGGTCATTGAAGGCAAAATTTCGCCGATTTCCAGGTCGAATGTCGACAATTTCCAAGAAGCCAACGCATAACTCGGGAACCAATAGAGCTACAGCGCCGCGGCAAAGCGCATTCGATAGCCCTATTAACGCCCTTACTGAGTAATGTTCTCAGATTTGACCTAACCTCAACGGTTTTGCCTGCAGGGGGCAAAAACTGCAAAAATAGCCGATTTTTTCGGAAACAGTTTTTCTGCAATAACTTTTGACCCAAGCCTTGTACGAGCTTACTTTTACCGGCATCGTGTTCCTCTCGTCAAGACACATCGAATGAACTATAACTTGACCTTGAAAGGTCAACTTGAAAATTTGACCTCAGGTCAAGGTCATGACCTGACCGGAAAGGGTCATGTTGCATATCAGTCGATCCGTATCGTTGAGCTGAACACATCTAAGGCGTTTTCATCGCTCTAGCATGCCTCTATCAAAAGTTATTTGCGAAAAACTGTTAGATACCATTCGTGACCTAAGATGACCTCAGGGCATAAACAGGGGTCACGGACACCATTTTCATGTTCAGTGTGTCTAAACCACTTGTAATTCAGTGTTTGGGAGTGTTTATAATGTCTTTCGTCCAAAAGAGGTGCATTTCAATTTTCTCCCATTGACTTATAATGGGGAGGTCGCAAAATTGACCTGACCTTAGGTCATCGATATCAAAATTCTGAGATATACATTTTGTACATGCTATTGCTCTTAGCAATCGCTGAAAGTTTCAAAGCAATCGGTCACTCGTTGTAGCTATGACAGACATTGAAACTTTTTATGAGGTGAGGTCACTTCAAGTGACCTGGTGACCTGACCTTGAATGACCTTGGTCTGAAATTTTCACAACATGTGTAGAATTGATGTATGATAAGGTGTACCAAAAACGGCGGCGCGGAGCGCCGCTGTTTTTGAGATATTCGCGAAAAACCACAAGGGGGGGGGGGGTGTTCAAACACCCCCCCCCCCCAGCAGGGCGCGGGTTAAACCCCTCCTTAGAACATATCATCTTGATGAATATTGGCCGCGACAACTTACAGCCAGGGATGCGGAGCCGTGGAAATTTCAGACGGCTCCGGCTCCGGCTCCGGCTCCGGAGAAAAAATCGGCTCCGGCTCCGGCTCCGGCTCCGGGTAAAATGTTATGGCGGCTCCGGCTCCGGCTCCGGCTCCGAGTAAAATGGTCCGGCTCCGGCGGCTCCGGCTCCGGCGGCTCCGGCTCCGACTCAGTACATCCCCTATGCAATCAATTAAATACGGGTGGAAGAAAAAATGGATTGGTTATACGCGTTACTCTTTGCCATGACCGGCTCACCGCGTCCCCGCGCAAACGCACCTCGGAGAGAACTGGCAGAACAAAGGACTAGGAAGCGATGGCATTGGAAACGCAGTCGCCGCGAATCAGAGTTCACTGAACCATCGTAAGCTGACACCCGTCTCGGCTGCATTGGGGGGAGGGGGGGGGGGAAGAGACGGTGCTGGGAGTCGCAGTCCACTGCACTGGCTTCAAAACAATGGCCGTCACCTGATGACCGGTCCTCATGTTCTGGGGATGCAGTAGACGTGGGGGGGGGGGGGGAGGGGGAGGAGCAGACAGGAAGTTGATCGCGTACTGTGGGATACTGGGGATATTCGGCTTTTTTCATTCACTTGATGGCCCATGACGTACTTACCATATGTTTTACTGCCTTGTACTGTCAAAGCGAACTAAGCCAATTATTTTTTTTCCTCTTCAAAAATAAAAAGGAGCCGGAGTCGCCCCCTTTTTGGCGGCTCCGGCTCCGGCTCCGGCTCCGGGCTATATCATTTCACGGCTCCGGCTCCGGCTCCGGCTCCGGGCAAAATATGCCGGCTCCGGCGGCTCCGGCTCCGACTCCGGCTCCGGCTCCGCATCCCTGCTTACAGCCATAAAACCTACAGTCGACCAGGCCTTCCAGATGAAATGGATGAAGACAAATGGTTTGGCCAATTGAGCTGGCCGATTGATAACGCCCCCTCGGGACAGGAGCGGGGAGAATCACCAGGAAACAGCCACTTGGGACGACGTGGCAGACATCTCTAGTCTCTGTCTCTGGGTGGAAGCACTATAGGAAATCCCCTGCAAGAGTCCCACGGCAGTGCAATCCAGCAGACCGTTGAAACAGGGTCTAAAACGAATGAGAGTGCTTCAGGAAATGAAAAGGTTCGTGGTCTTCTATATCGCAGCGACGCTGGACACGTCTGCGGAATAATAACTGATAAAAATCAGCCGGAACCGCAGCAGACACAATCTGGAAAACACTTAGGCAGACACGCGAGGAACTTTGATGTGACAGTGATCGTTTCGAGCACAAATACTAATCGATCACTGGGCGGACATTAATCACCATTTGTTTGTACAGCCCTGGCAGATAGACTGGTGGCAATACATGGGTAGAATTCCACGTCAAGGATGATTTGTGATGTGCTAACAGTCAAGTGTTGCTTGTCAAGGTGATTACTGGGTAAATGAGTAGGTGTGGAATGATACAATCAAGTGGCGTGAACCCGTGCGATGCATTTTATTATGGTATCGCCGGTCGCACCTGCTACCGTTGGAGTTAATGATAAATTAAACTTTTTTTTCGCAAAGTCCGATAAATCACCAATGATTGTTAAATCGCCGGGATATGACAACTGAAGAACACTTCAAAGTTCAAATGCATTTTAAACTCCTATTTCGTCTACATATGAATCCTCGCTTAGCTGATTGAAAGCATTAGGTACATCAAACAATGAGCCTAGTTTTCTCCATTGACTTAACTTCTCCATAAAGTTTACACACACGCTGACTTGAAGACCCTCATAAGTGAGCCCACTTTATCGCGATTTGCATTTTACCACTGCTCGTCCCGTCAGGGAGGCCTCTCCTGGCCGTCGTGACTCGGTAGATTCAGACTCTGCCGTCCTGTTGACTCAGCTACTTCCCCGGCCACGTTCGTTTGGAGTGCTGAGATCAGTGGCTGCTCCGTGGTCATAAGACGTGACGTGCAGTGTGGTGACTGTCCGGCTCGGGAGGCTGAATAAGTGTCTTTGTTACATGATGACGAGTGGTCATGACTGGGGACATGTGACAGTATGACAGTATGACTATTTTTTATTTTCTGTTTTCATTATAATTCACCATACAAGTACACCTACAATCTACATGCAAACATTTTTGTGCGTCTTATAGCTACTATGACAATGGATATGACTATTGACTATGGGAATCGGCCGTTGTGAGATAAGGCTGTAATTGCTACTCAGTACTCATCTTATGCATAGTTTGCTTACAGCGGTGTCCCCTATTACTCATGTATGCGTACAACAGAATATTTTATCATGTCGATTGAATATTGATGTTAATCTGTGTTTCCCCGTCTTTAACCTACAGATTCGACCCACATAGTGGACTGTCAGCTGAAGCTGATCCTGGGTCTGATATGGACGCTGATCCTGCACTACAGCATCTCCATCCCTATGTGGGAGGGCGACAACGGTCTGGACGAGGCCGACGATCGGCCCGAGCCCGCGCCCAGAGTCAGGTGCGCTGAGGTGGGGTTAGGCGGACCGGGGCTCGGTGTGACCCGCACCCAGTTTGGTGGGATGAAATAGTCCAGTGTATTTACTAGACGTGGTCAAACTCTATCCGAAGTCAAGAGGGTGCACTAGACCACAAGTCTTCTCCAAGTCAGATTAGGTATCGGACCCGTTTTGCGGTCTGAGTATTTGCAATTATTACGGTTCTGAATTTCCAAAGATTTATTTTTGATTTATAAATATGACACTAAGACGCTTTCAGAGGTTTTGTGAATTTATACGCTCTTGTTATTTTGTTAGGCTATTTTCTTTTGGTGAATGAATTATAGAAAAGTTACTCACGCTCATGAATCTGTTTTGGCAATTCAGTCAATTACAACCTTGTCGAAACTTAAATATTGGTCACCGCCTGTTCCCGTCACACTTTCGTTGATAACATCTCTGTGTATAACCGTATGTATGCTTCCCTCAGGCTGATGAACTGGGTCGGCTCCAAGATGCCCGGTCTGCCTGTGAAAAACTTCACCTCAGACTGGAGAGACGGAAAGGCGATCGGCGCTCTGGTGGACGGCGTGGCACCAGGTCAGTAAAACGGGACCATCAAGGGTCGTCAGAGGTCAGTGTGGGGAAGTGGGGTCAACCTAGGTCAGAAGAGGTCACTAGGGTCAGTGGGGAGGGTCAATAAAGGTCATTGGAGAGTAAATGGGATGAGGAGAAGGCGGTTGTCGGAAAAGGCGAGTAGAATTCAGTAGAGAGAGGTCACTAAAGTCAGCAGAGGCTATCCAGGTCAGGGTCAGTAGAAGTCATCCTCTTGTGGGGTGTGCGCACATGCGTGAGGTCAGACGCCTGCCGGCCCACAATTAGATCGGTATCATTTGTCTAGCTCTGATGGTCACCACAGACGTGATAAGGAGGGCCGATATAGACCAGACCCGGCTCACGCCAAATATGTCAATTTGTCTCCATTGCTCGCCTATTACCTCGTGCGTGCCGCAGACAATAAAGGAGCATGTTTTCACCTAGTCGACATGCTTCGTTATCAGCTGAGACCCTCCGACGATCGATATGACATTTATAAAACAGCTCGTCTTTGTTGCAGTCCGTAAGTTGAGGCGGTGGCCGGTGACAAAAACGTAACGCGATAACAAGACGCAGCGAGCCTCAGTTTAAAATTGTTTCGCTGTTTGTTCGGCTGAGAGCGGCGCTCGCTCGATATCCTTTTATGAAATCACTTTTTGTGACACTTCATAAGTCTATATCCTTCTAAAGACACTTTGTGTTATGCATTCAACTGCTTCATCGGGCTTCGGTGAACTTTTTTATTTCAACATCATGATATTCATGTTCACTCTTTTCCAACGTCGGTATCTCAGCTCGCCTGCTCGAAATTAAGCCCCACCAGTGCTTCCTTCCGTCAGATTATCAGTATTATCATCAGTATGCCATTGCTACCAATACGTTACATGCTGCTGCCGTCAGGTCTGTGTCCCGACTGGTCCAACTGGAGGTCTGAAGACGTCCCCATGTGTCTGTGGTGTGTGTTTTCCGTATAACTGACGGAAACCTATCCCTTTTCCCCAGGTCTGTGTCCCGACTGGTCCAACTGGAGGTCAGAGGACGCCCTGAGGAACGCCTCCGAAGCCATGGGCCTGGCCGACGACTGGCTCAACGTGCCGCAGGTGAGGACGCTGAACGTGCTGTCAGTGGACTCGGGGAAGGGAGGGGTGGTCAAGTGTTGAACGTTCTCCGCTCAGGTGGTGAATACTGAATGGATAGTGGACACAAGTTCTATAAATATGCACATGTTCTTGCCACCTATACCGGTGTCCGGTGTATGAATACGTAGGTCCTGATGTGTTTGTGTGAGCTGATATTTGTTACTGTCACACATTGCGTTCCTTTGTAAGCTGAATGTGCTGCATGTTGTCACTGTCCAGTTTACTTTCTGCGTGTACTGACAATAGCACCATTAGGCCGACCACCAGTGGAGGTCTCTGTTTCCATAACCACCTGTCTACATCCTAAGCACGTTCTACTTCAGTAATACAGAAAACAACACCTGTATTATGCAGACTGAGGCTCTCTGTCCCTTGTCCAATGTCCACTGAGTAAAGCTCCTCGCCAACTCTCAGTAGCACTTCAGTATACCACACACAACGGCCTCGGCACAGATCACGGCTTAATATCTTTACATACGTCGTGTCAGTACTAGTTCTATAAGGCTCCTCTGTTCGACTCGGGTTTGTCGAGCAGCCTCTCAGTGCCAGTCTCGCTCCGAGCCGAGGTCAGGTCTGGGAGTCAGGCGGTATGCCGTGACTATGCGAGTTCAGGGAACTCGCAGAGGCTCTGTTTGTAGAGTCGGCCCACCGCACACAAAGACGGTTGGATAACAGTCAGTGGATGGAAGGACGGTCGTAGAAACGGGCGGGGAACGATACGGACAGCATGTATGTGTGTGCGAAATGGTGTGACTCCGAGGTAACATCTGTTCTATTCATGAGCACCAAATCAAAGGAAGACAGATATTGATTGGTTTCCGACGGCACTGTCCAGTCCGCGTATTTTTTGCCTCATTAACCCTACCAGTTTTTTTATTACGATATTAACCCTTCCAAACACCGAACAGAAATGAGACAAACAAAAGATAAGGGGCGTTTTGAAACGATAACTAACGCCTAATGTTTCATACCGATAGATGATTATCAGTCGCTAGGGACTGTTCAAAGAAGACAGCCATTGTTTGGCTGTGAGATCAAAATAAACGCCCTCTTGACCCTTCTCTCGGTCTCCCCATGAAGTTGATCATGACACTTGTACGTTGAACCTGCAGAGTTTCAGCTGTCATGTGCTGCTGTCATAACCGATCACGAGAGTGTATATCTGTGTTTTTTTTTTCTCTCTTGACGACGCATTACCGCTAATATACGTCGTCCACTCCAGAAGTTTTGAGACTGCCCTCGTAAAAGCCCTATTAACAGTGCTAGATTCTTGTCGTTTTCATATGTCCTTACCACAGTTGTCATAAGCGTACTTGCGTAAGTTTGTTTTTCTACGTTGCAAGAGACGGCTAGGGCATCACCCTGAACACGGCGAGTCGCACGCGTCTTGTCACAGCGGCCAGTGTACAGCATGGTCAGGCTGTTAATGTGACGACAACTTTGAAAGTCGCTAGGCAATAAAGTGTTGTGATTAGCCTGATGAAAATAACCCCAGAAACATTGAAAATTGACTCTTCAGTGTTTTGAGACGAAAGCTGGATGTATTTTTAACGATCCAGACACCAAGAGACAAAATGCTCAATGAAAGCACACTGACTCCCCCAGACCCAAAAAAGCCAGACAGAGCAGGCCACTGGGAAGCTCATAATAATCCCTCACTTTGACAAAAAAGGCATTATATTCATCAGCTGGGTCCCGTGCACGGCACAAGGAATGATTCCTGAAAGTTCTGAGGGAGTTGAGAAAGACAATTCGTCGCAAGAGACAGAAACTCTTCAAATTTGGCCAGAGGCACCTGCACCAGGACAACGCACCCACCCACAAGTCCATCATGGTGACGAGCTAACTAACACATATAGGCATCAAAACTGTCCCTCATCCTCCCCACAGTCCAGATCTGCAGCCATCTGTGGCTTCTGAATGTTCCCCAGACTGAGCGAGAAGTTCAGGGGACGCCGGTTGGAGGATGTGGAGGAGTTGAATGATGCTGTGACAGAGGCTCTTGGCACCTTCACTTTGGAGGACTAGCAGCGGGCCTTCAGGATGTGACTGGAGCGCTACAACAAGTGTATTGACTCGGGAGGTCTCATTTCGATAGTCACTGGAGTTTCATGCTTTTCTGAAACAACTAACAGTCTCTACTGAAAAAGTCTCAAAACTTCTGGAGTGCACCTCGTATAAGCATAGAATGCGTAGCTGTTTTATTTCCTCTTGCCGCTGCGTTATCGCTCGTATTAGTATCAGACATATAATTCTAATGTATCCTTCCAGCTGATCCGGCCGGAGGACATGATTAACCCGAACGTCGACGAGCTGTCGATGATGACGTATCTCTCGCAGTACCCCAACGCCAAGCTGAAGCCCGGCGCGCCGCTCCGCAGCAAGACCAACCCCGACAGGTGGGTTAGGGCACATAAAGTCATCAGATTACAGTGTAATCTACACAGATGTTTTAGGATGGGTGGGGAAACGTATGTATACTTGCCTATACATACAGCCAGAAATAGGTACCTTTATTTGTGCAGGCAAATATATAGCATAATTAAAAATTAGCCTTGATTTGCCTTGTAAGTATTTGGTGCATCGACAGTGACAGTTTTTTTCTTGTGCGCTGATGTTGAACCCCCGCCTGAAATCGCATCAGATGCATTGGACATGAACTTTATGTAGGTACAATGGAAGGGCAAGCCAGTCGAATGCGAGTAGGCTTCACTCGCTCTGGCCATTATCTTCCTGGCTATGCGGCTCACCGCCTACATACACTTTAAATGCATGTTGCAAACTTGCGATCCGATTGTTTCCGCCGACTGACATTCCGACAAACTCCCGGCTTATATTCTTCATCATTGAAGTCATTCCATCCTCACCCCCATGTCGAGATCTCGCACTCATTTCAACACACCCACGGTACGAGTAAATTGCATTCTCCAGAATAATTACTTCAGCACCCAAGCTTTACATGCACTGTAATGCGAACGATGAGCATCTCGTCAACCCCGATCACCGACGCTGGGTTTTGACAACTCGTGGAGCGCCCACGACGTATCTCGGGACCCAGCCGAGCTCTGAAACTGTCACACGTTCAAATATCCCGCGCCATCAGATTGGGATAGTGCGTAGGTATCTTATCTTGTACCGTTTACGACCAAGGCAGGTCAGAGACCTTAGTTTATCGTGACTGGCACCGAATGTGGTGGTTGCCGCCCAGTTTCTTAGCGGAGAGAGCGACCGTTACGCTGTTGTCTCACAAAGACAGATATCGGCAGCAGGTGCCATGAGGAGACCTGTCAACACAGTGTGGGACGATCTCTCTCTCTCTCTCTCTCTCTCTCTCTCTCTCTCTCTCTCTCTCTCTCTCTCTCTCTCTCTCTCTCTCTCTCTCTCTCTCTCTCTCTCTCTCTCTCTCTCTCTCTCTACCCTCTTATCTCTCTTTCCTCTATTTCCACTTCTCTCTCGCTCATGGCCCTTTACGTTTTGCCCCCGATATCAAAACCTCAAAACCTACCATCGTTCCCTTTGACCCTTTCACTCTCTCTCTCTCTCTCTCTCTCTCTCTCTCTCTCTCTCTCTCTCTCTCTCTCTCTCTCTCTCTCTCTCTCTCTCCACCCACCCCACACTCTCCCCAGCTCTCCTACTCTCCACCTGAGGCCCGTCTCATGCGGCCATCAGGCGACATTTGTGCGCTCTAGCACACGTGTCTGAGGCCGCAACCGGCGCCTTCCTACATGCAAACGGGCCGTTTTCACCACCCGGCGCCCATCTCTGGTGCCTGGGGGCCGCTCTGTTAGTACGTGACCCCTCTCGTGGTGTCTGGAGGGGGATGGGGGGGAGGGGTAGAGGGGGAGACAGCCGTGACTGAGCCGCGTGCTACCGTCCACAGCACGCCTGTCTCGACGGCCCCCGGCTCAGCCAGGTAACAAACCGTGTTACACAGTGGCATGGCTCCTGGCGCTCGGTGACCACTGCAGTGTGTGCAGTGTGTTTTTGTTTCGATAGGCAGTAGTCACGGTGTGCATTAAGCATGAAATTCCCCTTTTCGCATGCATCGTTTATGGTGGTATACCTACTCTACATTTTGTTTTGTATACCCGTATGCTTTCATCGTCTAGTGTACGGGCAATTAGAGTGTCTGATTGCCGCTTAGCGAGTGTTAGTTCTCTGTTTACCGTGCGAGTGCTGATGTTGATTAGTTTGGGCATGCCACGACTGTGACCTTTTTTAAGAATGTCCCATTCTGCTTATGTTTTCGTGTTTACTGATTCTGATTATTCGCCGGTGCTCTTTTACGAGCTCATCGTTATTATTTATCTAAATTACTGATTGCAGCTGCAGGCATGTGGTAACATTTCTCGTCCCAGATGAATCAGCCCCGCTGCCTGCCTGACTCAGTGTTTGTCCCGCTGTGCTGGCGCCCGACTGTTTCTGTATATGTATGGACGAACGTACCGCGGTGCTGTGTCGGATGTGCAGACCTCGGGCAGCGGAACCGACAGATCAGCTGGTCGGCGCCCCTCTCTCTCCGGGGAGGAGAGAGGGGTGAGGGGTGAGTCAGGTGGTCAGGAATGATTCTCGGAATGGTCCAGGAGGCTCTGCCAGAGACCGCAGGTAGTGGGGAGGAGGGGGGGGGGCATTGGCAGGGATCACTTCCTTCTCTCCCTTTACGCTTGCTGTATTTCGCCTCTGTGATTTGCATCTCTAGCTATATTCTAGGTGTGGTTCATGAGCTATAACGCTGTAATTTTATAACAATATGCATGCTACACTTCCCGATGCCCATTTAGTCACCATGCCCATTTAAAGCAAGAGAGACGTTTGCTACGTTGTGGTACAGGAGAGATGACAGCAGAAGTTCTCAGGTGAACAAAGTGGTTATAACCGACGGGATTAACGGCGTGATTCATTACCACTTTAGTAGCCTGGGAGTTATTCCACGTCGGTTTATCTAAAGCCGGGTGGTTTCAATATCCGCCCTATTTATCATCAGGTTTATAATGATTGGTGGTGCCATAGGCTTCTCCGGTGGTGCGTATAACATTACAAGAACAATATCCGGTAGCTCATAGCTCTTATAGGACGGTCAATCTTGGTTTGGAACACAAATCATCTCAGCTTTTAGGAAACACTTTTTAAATGCCATGCTATACGCTAGTACCGTACCATATAAATATCTTTGAAAAGTAACACTATCGGTCGGAGCTGGGTTGGTAATTTTATTAATATTACGTCCATATCGAGACTGACTCATGTCTGAGCCAGTAGCTGCAGTCGGGCTGTTTGTTTGTGTCGGAAATGTAGGAGTCAGACGGGTGTCGCTGCCGGTCTGCCGTCTCCAGCCAGTCACTGCACGTTGCCGTCCTCGGCTCTCACTGCAGTTCCAGTGCAAATAATCAACCGGGCACGAAGACTAGGGTACGGCCCGCTGAGATGACAAACTGGCACTGTTGCATGTCACAGCTGCTGACAAAGTGACACCGTCACATGTCACAAGTCCTCGTCACATGCCACAGCTGGCGACAAACCGTACTCTAGCCACAGGTCATCGGTCCTGACAAATTGTTAAGCCATGTTACAGGTCGTCATAAGCCAACCTAGCCACTTACCATTTGCCACAGGTCATTTGTACCGACTCCGTCAATGTGTCGGGCTCACTACTCAGTTCCTTCCACACGAATTGAAATCGTCACAAATCACGAACTGCCACGTGCAGGAGGGCCGTTTTTTGAGATGTGGTTTTCTGCAAGTGACGGCTTATTTGAGATAGCCAACCAATAATATCACCGTTCGCGACATCTCAGCTGTTTTTCGATAACCGTTTCTGGCCTGGGGCAGCCGTCTGTTCCTGCAGCAGACAGTGCAGACACCATATGGTACACCGCTACCGTCTGGATGTGGCGGTGCGACCCTCCCCCTGTTGGCGACTCAGGAGCCAGCCGTCCCTCCAGCTGCAGTGGACAGCTCACCATCTGGCCTGGCTGCCGGCTGGCACCGTCAGGGGGCAGTGTTGGTATGCACATTACACGTGTACCGCTCCCTTTCATCCGACTCAATCGTTTTGTTCAGGTCACTCAGGTCTTGGGGTGCTACAGGTAAGGCGGAGCGATTGGTGGCTGGTGGCTGCATGGTGACTTTTCTGACCATTATCCTGGCTGGAGGTAGACGGTGTTGCCGGTATCCGGTGAGCAGAAAGTGAGTCTCGGTCCGAGTCTTTCCTTTCTCGCAGCTTGTATGCATCGAGTTCTTACATTTAGCTTTGATAGACGATTTAAGGGTGATATACCCCCACTTACCTACGTCAAACGTCTCTCTTTGTCCTTTTTGCCAACATTTTCCTTCTGATAGGCACATGGAAAGAAGCTTGCTAGCGGCAGGAGAGTAACAGCCATCCTAGCTCAGCTATCCACTGACGTCTCCAGCTGTGTGACGTCACTGAATTACCGAGCCGTGACGTCACCGGAGTACCGAGCCGTGACGTCACCGGGCTACCGAGCCGTGACGGACGGTAGCCGGTCCGTGACTTATGCTTCATCTCGGCTCTATTGGCCGTGACTGCCCGTGCCGGTGGTGATACTGGCGGCAGATGGGCGGTCTTACGGGTCATCTGGCTCCCTTGCTATCTCATGGAACAGAGAGGGGATTCTGAATTTCTGATAGGTCACGAGGTCAGGTCAGGTTCATGAAAGCCTGAGGTCAGGAGCAGGAACACTTTATCAGTCATCAACGGTATCGTCCGTTGTTTATTTCTTTTCCTTATTTGACCGTCTATCTTCTGTTTCCAGAGTCGAAACGAAAGGGACAATCGGACCAGCTGCGATCGCCATTGATCCCTGTATAACGTCAGTTGCAGTCTCTAGCCTCTGTCGGACGATGTGGGACCCTGTGTCGAGCACTCCTTGCTAGCGGTGGCTAGTACTCCATTTGTGACGTTATTGTCTCTCCTCTCAGAGTCCGGTGCTATGGGCCGGGCGTGGAACCCTCCGGCCCGGCGGTCAGTGTTCCCACCACCTTCACAGTGGAGACGTTCGCCGCCGGCCAGGGCAAGGTCGAGTGTGATCTCATCAGGCCCGACGGACGCATCGAACCGGTCAGTAAATACTCATGCGCTCTAACATAGAGGAGCAACACCAACATCAGCGAGTTGATATCACCAGTAAGCACAAATAAGAGTGGAATGTGCTTGTATGGCCCTTGATCTGGCTCATTTGGAAGACATCAGTATAACTTTTTACGGAAATATTCCACTACCTCTCGCTTGCCTCATCCCCAGATTGAGACCAAGTTTTCCGGCGACGCGACAATGACCTACCGGTGCAGCTACACGCCTAGTTGCGAGGGTCGCCACCAGGTGTCAGTGCTGTTCGCCGGCCGGCCAGTACCCCGCTCGCCCTTCCCTGTGACCGTGGAGGGTCCGGCCGGTGACCCAAACAAGGTCACCGCCTCGGGACCCGGGCTGCGGCCGACTGGAGTGGTGGCCGGCAAACCGACCTACTTCGACCTCTTCACCAAAGGTCAGCGCTGGATGGGGCCGATATGTCGTTTGGTGGCTGAAGGTCAGCAGTAGATGACTGGCCGACGTGCCATGGGCTGTTGATGGGTGGGAGAATAACTGCAGGTGAGAGTCTGTACCGTGGGATCGTACTGTTAAATTGAACCGATGTTCTCATGGTAGGCTAAGGTCAAGCGGCGGAATAAATAACAACATCAGGGTTAAATCCACACGTAATGCAGAGCTCCGGTCTCTATTAATTTGTGTTCATAAATCACCCCATCAGCTATTATTATAGTACTCGTCGCCACGCCTAGCAGTCACAATAAACAATCAAAGTATATCGCTCCGCAATACCGTCTCCCTCCGAACTCCCTACAGCAGTTTTCTAACCCCGCCCCCTGTCCCGTCAGACGCCGGCCGCGGCTCGCCAGAGGTCATGGTGCTGGACTCACAGGGGAAGAGCCTGCCGCCCTCGCAGCTGAGCCTGCGACCGGTCGCCGACGGTCGGTGGCGGTGCGACTTCACCGCCCCTCAGTCCGGCCTTCACTCAGTCAACGTGCTGTTCGACCGGCGGCCCATCGCCGGCAGCCCGTTCCCGGTCAAAGTTGGGCCAGGTACGGGTTAAAGTAATGATAACAGTCAAAATCATGCTAGATGCTGCCTGTAGGTAAATACGAGTTGCGGTAGATACGAGTCAAAGCTGAGCATGTACGGGATCAGGCCCTATCAGAAAGAAGTGGAAGTTAAACCGGAAACACATTACGATCAAGATAATGTCGGAATAGGCTTTAGGCCAAGCCATTGTGACAGCTAATCTTGTTTGATGAGCTGCAGCAAAACACATCTAGTGATTACTTGAGTGCATGCTGAATAACTAATTTGTATCAAGCTGCGTAGAATCTGACGAGCTGACCTTCCCGTCCCGCCTGTCCGCCCAGCCTGCGACCCGCGCCGTGTCCGTGTCACGGGCAGAGGTCTGCAGTCGCACGGAGTCCGTGTCGGTGACACGGCTGACGTGCGGGTCTGGACCGACGGCGCGGGTGACGGCCAGCCGCAGCTGAGGGTCGTCGCACCAGGTCAGTGCAGAGGTCACAGGTTACGGCCCAGGTCAGTGCAGAGGTCACGGGTCGAAGGGGAGTGGAGTGGCCAACCTCGGGTCAGAGGTGAATGATGCCGGGCTCTTGGTGTTATTTGTCGGCACGGGCATAACGTTCGATGATCGTTGATCGAGGTTGACTTCAGGGCTTGTATATCTGGCTGTGACAGACGAGCTCTCGAAGCTGGCATGTCCAATTGACACACTACCAACTGTGCTAACAAGACTGATGCACTCTCATGCTGTCGTCACCCTTCCATCACGATAGCAACATATTTACCTTTTTATCATCAGCTGCCAGCCCATTTCAGTTGAACCCATTGAGCCCGCTTGAACTGACCAATCTGACCCAGTGCTGACATTCTGATCTATGTATTTACCCTTTGCCTGGTTCGTTGAGTGTCGTCAGATTAGGCCACATAACCCATAACCCAGTCAGATATGAGAGCACACTATGAGTCATCACTAATGGATATGTGAGTTGTGAGGTGGGGTTGTATTTGGACTAGATTTCGCCTGCCGTGCCCCTGGGCACTTCAGTTGGACTGCCACGCCCCCTCCACGGTTGACCCATGACTCATCCCAGCAATCTCATACCGTCAAACTAACATCCAAGTGAAGCGGTGCCGCTAATGTTTGGGTAAACATCATCTACACGTATTTGCCATGACTCGCCCACGTTTGCTGTTCCAGGCGGAACGACGGATACTGTGCCGCTGAGGAAGGTAGCCGACAGCGTGTATGAGGGCGAGTTTTATCCGACTCGCGAGGGACGTTACATCGCAATGATTTCCTATGGCGGACAGGAGATCCCCAAGTCGCCATTTGAGGTCAACGTCGGTCCTATGAAGGTGAGATCTGGCAGGTTGATGAGTGCAGTAGCGCGTTCGCTTGATGTATGACATCATGTGGAGATTCATTCGGTCCGTTAGAGGCTTTGCTATAGACATTTGTCTGATACCGTGACCTCAATGTTTCTCATCTCGTGCCATACCTATCGCTGATTGACACGTAGCGGGCGCCAGAAGCCGCGTCCATCATCAGACGCTCGTCTGCCGCGGCGACTCTGAGGCGCCGGGCGCCTCAATCACATTCCATACTGCTATCAGCGGCCTGATCCCCGCCCGGCGCCGGAGCCATACTGTTTACATCTCAGGCGACAGATGAACGTTACCGTACCGCCCCGCCCAGCTGTGACCGGTGCTGTCACCTACCACAGGAATCCGCAATTAACTGCTTCGGGCCGGGCCTGCGAGGTGGCGTTGCGGGCGCTCCAGCTGTCTTCACCGTGGACACTGGCGGCGAGACGGGCGCTCTTGGGTTCAGCATCGAGGGTCCCTCCCAGGCGGCCATTCAGTGCCGAGACAACGGCGACGGCTCGGCTGATGTGAGCTACTTTCCGACGGCGCCCGGCGAGTACGCCGTGCACGTGCTCTGCGAGGGAGAGGACATACCCCAGTCGCCGTGGATGGCGCGGATCTCGCCGCCCGTTCATGGAGACCCGACCAAGGTGAGGGGGTAAAGCTACTGACTCAGGTATCGAGTGACTCAGAGGAATGGCAGCAGAAGTGGGTAGATGTCTGACCATGACAAGACGAGTGCTTGAAGCATGTTTGCATAGTCGGGGGTTAGTCCATAAGCAAAGTCGATTGAATGGCATGTTTGTTATTTGCCTGCACTTGTCGCAAGCACTTGACCCGTGCCTCAGTATCAATTCTCCAAACCTTTCCAATAGGCGAGGAAGAATGCATCTTTTCATCGGCAAATTCGACACGTCACCGGCCTTTTGAGACTTTCAGTAAAGGAGCCTTTTTTAGAGGCCCGTTCGAGTTCATCACTCTTAAAAGTGGGGTTTTTAATTGATGTTCAACGCATTTTTAATCGATAAATGACTGTGTTATCGGTAAACAGCTCTCTTCTGTTGCATTGAACAGGGTACTTTGTTCGAGTTCGAAGCATCATATGACGTGTAATGTGTATGACCTCAGTTGGAGGTGGTGTGATCGTTTGGAGCGCGTGGTGGACGTCTCGTGTCGCGTGACTTCACGTGACTGGGTGACGCCTTTTAATTATGATGCTACCCGATGTCATACGGCGCTGAGAATTGTTATGTGACACCGCGAGATGTTATAGGTATGATTTTATTTGACGTGGTATAACGAAATGTGACGGTGAAATGTTTCTCAGGTGAAGGTGACCGGTGTTCAGTCGGAGGGGGTCACCGCTGGCCAGCCGTCACAATTCAGTATCGACACACGACAGGCGGGCGGGGCGCCGCCTCAACTGACCGTGAGTTCTGAGTAATAATGTAGTTCAGTGTATAATACCGACACAGCTCAGTATCTACATAATACCAACACAGTTCAGTACCTTTATAATGCCAAAGTTCAGGAACTAAATACCGGCACCGTTTAATGTCGACTTTGTTACTGACACATGACAGTCATAGTGCACCGTTCCGTGCTTCTATCCTCAGGATACAGAAATCCTTCTCCTCCACGCCGCAACCCCCCTCCGGGCTGGGCAGGCAACTTTATCTCATGCGGGCTGCTCCCTTGGAGCGGCACCGCTGCTCCCGAGGGAGCGCACCCCGTAGCCGGGTGCAGTGAGTGCCTTGGGGCTGGGTGGCCTGTCCTCTGGACGGGCTCAGCCCCGGCGACTCACTAGGGTGCCTGCCCAGACCAATGTCTCCCCCTTTATCCTATCATCCTCCCGGCTCTGAAATGGTCTTGCCAGACCGAAAGGGCCTAACCCAACAAAACAAACAAACAAACAAAGTCATAGTGCATGCTGTATGATGTTATCATAACTCAGCCCAGTTTAAGCACAGAGGGTACCGATACAGTTCAGAATCGTTAACATTCATGCCGGCGACGCACTGCCACTCTGCCCAGATTAATGCTCTACCCTTCATTCCCCTGTGCCTCCCCAGATAATGGATGAGCAGTTCCAGACAGTGCCGGCACGGCTCACAGAGAAAACGCCGGGTGTGTTCCGTGCCGACTTCACCCCCAACATCGGCGGAAAACAGACCATCCAGGTGAGATATAGTCTATCAAACAAACGCGGGCTATCAGTGAACTCAACTTAATGTGGTTTGATACTACTGATCTGTTTATCGATTCGGTATGCGTATTTAGTCGGAAGACTTAGTGGTTAGTGGTTACTGGTTGCCAGTATACTGCTGTTGTCGACTTGAAAATCACGCACAACCATACCATACCATACTCTGGGCTACTCGAGGATGGACGATTACTGGATTTCGCTTGACTGTTCGGTATCCAACGCTTTCTAGGGCCACAGAAGGCAGTAGTAGCAGGTAACAGCAGCCGGATACTCCACATGCAATTGACTGCCATGGAACTTTTAGGGTTGATGAGTCACTAGGGGAGCCGGGTAATTAACTTTCTGAACTAAGTTGCACGGACTGTCTTTTGTAATGACTCAGATGGATGACCGTTTCTCATATGCATAGGAGCCCTGGCAATAAGGAGAGACTCTCACGTGGAACCATAACATTAACGTCCCATAACTTTATCTTTTTGTCGCTCACCCCTTACCACCAGGTAGAACACTCTGGTGTGGCGGTGCCCGGCTCTCAGTCTCCTCTCCACCAGGTAGAATATTCTGGTGTAGCGGTGCCGGGCTCTAATCACCCCCCCCCTCCCTGTCACTGCGTAGAACACTCTGGTGGGACGATTGTCAGCTCTCACAGTCTCCTCTCCACCAGGTAGAATATTCTGGTGTGGCGGTGCCCGGCTCTCACAGTTTCCTCTCCACCAGGTAGAGTACTCTGGTGTGGCGGTGCCCGGCTCTCACAGTCTCCTCTCCACCAGATAGAGTACTCTGGTGTGGCGGTGCCCGGCTCTCACAGTTTCCTCTCCACCAGGTAGAGTACTCTGGTGTGGCGATGCCCGGCTCTCACAGTTTCCTCTCCACCAGGTAGAGTACTCTGGTGAGGCGGTGCCCGGCTCTCACAGTCTCCTCTCCACCAGGTAGAGTACTCTGGTGTGGCGGTGCCTGGCTCTCACAGTCTCCTCTCCACCAGGTGGAGTACTCTGGTGTGGCGGTGCCCGGCTCTCACAGTTTCCTCTCCACCAGGTAGAGTACTCTGGTGTGGCGGTGCCCGGCTCTCACAGTCTCCTCTCCACCAGGTAGAGTACTCTGGTGTGGCGGTGCCCGGCTCTCACAGTCTCCTCTCCACCAGGTAGAGTACTCTGGTGTGGCGGTGCCCGGCTCTCACAGTCTCCTCTCCACCAGGTAGAATACTCTGGTGTGGCGGTGCCCGGCTCTCCGTTCCGAGTTCAGGCCGCCGACCGGCTGGACGCCAGCATGGTGCGGCTGTTCGGACCTGCCCTGGAGCCCGGAGTCAAGGCCCAGCTGCCCACACACTTTAACGTAGACGCCCATGGCGCCGGACAAGGTGCGTGTTAGGAGAAAGGGGAAAGGGAAGGAATGATCCAGCTGGAATGAATAGCTCAACAGGATCTGAGTCAAAGCTTAACGTCATGGCTTATTGGCTTCGTTATTTGCATCACACCTTGGCAGAATAAGTCATGAAGACGACCGAATACCAACGTGCATATCGTTTTTCATTCGTCAGTCAGTCGCCTCTCAGATAGTCTCATCTTAACACGTCCTGATGTGAGCTGCATTTGAATGTGAATTGTAAGAACATATTACCGATTTCTCTGTAGCCTCAGTAGTCTCTGATAGCTCACATGTCACCGTTAACTTCCCGTGCCCTTATGACCCCCGTGAGCGGTGTCTATAACCCGTGGCGCCCTCTGTAACCGTAACTCTCCCCTCCCACCCAGGCGAGCTGCAGGCGGTGATGCGGGAGGACCGCAGTGGTACCGAGGTACCGGTACGGATCACCGACCACGGCGACGGTACGCTGCGTGGGGAGCTGACGTACCCGCGCCAGGGCACGTACACCCTGCACGCCCAGTTTGGCGGGAGGCCGGTGCCGCAGAGCCCTGTCCGCGTCACTGTTCAGCCCGGAGTGAACGTGTCCCAGATCCGGGTGGAAGGACTCGAACCCAGTGAGTGGAACGGGAGGTGGGGTGGGGTGATGGGTGAGGGAGGGAGAAGGAGGGAGAGGGACTCGAACCCAGTGAGTGGAACGGGAGGCGGGTGGTGGGGTGAAGGAGAGGGAGGGAGAGGGACTCGAACCCAGTGAGTCGAACGGGAGGTGGGGTGGGTGAGGTGAAGGAAAGGCGAGGGACTCGAAACCAGTAAACGGGCCTTGGTGGAGATGAGGGATGGGGGGCTTGGTTGATGTAGACTTTAGGTGACAGTCAAGGGCAAGGGTGAGTGTCGGATATTAATGAAACGTTTGGTGGTGGAAATTTGCAAATTTCTTAAATGTTAGCACTCACTTATTCATGTGTAATTGTGTGAGATAACTGTTCGACAACCTGGCTTCCATATTCCATGGCATTCTGTCATGCCCCTCTCGCTTCCCTGTGTCTTCCCACACCCTGACGAGCTGCGCCGTGCGTCCGTCCGTGTCCCTTTCGGCTGCCAGCGGTGCCGCTGATGAGTCGCCAGCAGTTCGTGGTTCGGACGCCGGCCGGTCTCAGTCCGGCCGATCTGGCCGTTACCGTCACCTCTCCGTCTGGTGTGCGAACTCGCGCCAACATCCGACCCACGCCGGCGGGTCTGCTGGTCGACTTTGTGCCTCTCGAGCTCGGCCTGTACTGGCTGGGAGTTCGGCTGGCCGGCGCAGAGCTCACTGGTCGACGGGTGGCCTGTGTGCCGGCGGCGGCGCGCAGTGTGCGGGTGCACGGACCCGGGCTGACGGGAGGCGGCGTCCGACAGCCACAGAGGTTCGTCATCGATACCCGCGGCGCCGGGCAGGGCGGTCTCGGTGTCACCGTCGAGGGACCCTGCGAGGCGGCCATCAACTGTCGAGATAACGGCGACGGTACCTGTGATGTGGCCTACCTTCCGACGGCGCCCGGTCTCTACCTCGTCAACGTCTGCTTCAACGACGAACATGTGCCCGGCTCACCGTTCCGCGCCACCGTCCATCCGGAGCACGCCTCGCCGGCGCCGGTCCGAGAGCACGTCCGAGAGCACGCCGAGCACGTCCGAGAGCACGCCGAGCACGTCCGGGGGCACGCTGAGCACGTCCGCCACGCCGAGAGGAACGTGCACGCCCAGCACGGCCACGACGCGCGGAGCGGCGCGGCGCGGCCGGACGGACGTCGCCAGCGCGCCGGCCGTGGTCTGGAGGACGTGCGAACCACGGGATACGGAGTCCATCCTTACGGTAGCTTGGAAATGCCGCCGGTGGCATGAGGATCGGCTTTGGAGCCATTTCACCTTATCGGCGCAGCTGTGTGACGTGTGGCTGCACTGCCCGCATCACCACCTGCATGCGAGTTATATTTTATTTCGTTTTTGGTGTGGAGTTTGCGGTGAAATTGGCTGGTGTGGATGTATATTTTTACTCACTAAGGGTTTTGTAGTTTTGTCGGTTTACATAAGTCTGCTTTGACATCGGTGTCAGCTGCTGTAAATCAGCTGTTTGCTGTGATGTAACCTTATTTTTATCACTGATTCTAAAGAAAGCGATTCCAAATGCATGTCCAGAAAATGATAACTGCCTTTATTTTCGTTGTCTTATCACATTTTATCGGTACTTGCGTTTGGTCGGTAGATGGTTATGCATCTCTTACTGTTTTTTTTTGTATTTCTGTCTCATTCCATGATTTATTTTCATGCTGGTTTCTCACCAAGTAGGTAGCTAATAGCCCTGCATGTGTGTGACGGTTACTGATATTCGGTTATTTTATCACGTCGTCGAAAAAAGTGCATCACTTGGAGCTTGGTCCAGTCCCTCCCCACGTACCATTATAGTTCGGATGATTCGATAAAGCCATTTCAATATTCAAAATGCCATTAAATGTTATATCGATCGGTACAACGTTCCCCGAATATTTTGCGACCGATTTCATTCTTTGTAATACGTATTCCCAGGCTGACGGTGCGCTATTTCCTCTGGCCGCCGCCAGGTGTCTTCGTCGACTCGCCGGCTGACGTAACGCTGGACGCGCGCAGTGTGGCCGGCTGTGAGGAGGGACGGGTCACCTGCCTCATCACCAACCCCTCGGGCGACACGACGCCCTCCTATGTGGAGTCGGGCCGGGATGGAACGTTCCAGATCTCCTACACGCCGTTCGAGGAGGGTCAGTGGCGCAGATGACGGACGGCTCAGGAGGATAGAGAGCGGAGCGATAACCTGCGATGGGTTTAGTTAGACTTGAATGCTGCTTGATTTCGTCTATTTCTGATAAAAAATCATTATTTTCCGTTCAACTCTTACTCGTTTTAGTTTGCTCAGTTTATTGCAAATGCTCCTTGGGACTCCTTGTTAATTCGTCGTCTTCCCTAGACGTAACTACGTCAATATGTATGACCTTACCTACCCGCTGTGCTTTCCCAGGTCGCCATGAGATCGAGATCGCCTATAACGGTGTCCAGGTGCCGGGCTCGCCGTTCTTTGTGCACGTTCGACGAGGCTGTGAGCCCAGCCGGGTGACTGCCACGGGGCCGGGCCTGCGAGCAGCGACCGTCAACAAACCCAACTCGTTCACGGTCAACACCAGAGGTGAGGAAGGGCACAGCTTTCACGTCGGTGAAAAAAAGGACCCTGTCCTATCTGAACTCTTATGACTTTGAGTTATCCACGTGCCTTGTCTTTCCGTCCCCTGGCTGTCCTCACTGTCGACTGTGCTTCACTGATGTCTCTTTTTTATTGTCGCCAGGAGCGGGCACGGGCGGCCTGGGTCTGGCCATTGAGGGCCCCTCCGAGGCCAAGATGTCCTGTGTGGACAACCTGGACGGCTCGTGCCTGGTCCAGTACATCCCCACCGAGCCCGGAGAGTACGACGTCAACATAAAGTTCGCCGAGCAACACATTCCTGGGTCACCCTTCAAGGTTAGGCAAAGGTAGACAAACGGCATTTGATCGTGGTCAGCGGTCCTCAACAGTTGGCTGCGAAATATCATGCCGATTGTGCCTTTTCATCTGTGAACTTCTCAGAGATCTGTTTAGATGGCGACGATGCCCAATGCATATCCGCATATTTCAATTACTGGTGGCGTAAAGGTTGTTGTGTCCAGTCGTTGTCATTGTTGACGGAATGATCACCGTTTGTCACCTACTTTATGTCTTGTATCATTGCAGGTGTCGGTAGAAGTCGTGTCGAAATGCACACTGTTACATGACCTCCGTTTTTTGGTGACCTTCGACCTCTGACCTCTACCCCTGTGACCTCTCTAGGTGCCGGTGGTGTGTGAGGTGGACGCCGGCGCCGTCATCGCGCACGGCCCGGGCGTCACAGCCGACAGCTGCCGCGCTAACGTACCCATGTCGTTCACTGTGGACGCCACGCGGTCGGCGCCGGCCGAGCTGCGGGTCGACGTGCGCAGCGACAGGGGTGAGGTGCAGCGAGACTGGAGCTCTGCTCTTGAAGTTACAAGACTGGCTGGTCATAAGACAGGCTGCTGAAACTTATTTATTTTCATGGTCAGTTTCGCTAACATCTCCTGACCTTGAAGTGGTCGACTATTTTCACTCTGTTTATGCGCCTCACTGCCAGATATAATGCAGCCATCTCGGCATCTGTGAGAGAACGAAATGAGAACCATCTTTTGTTGTTGTTATTTTTTCCTCCACTCAGTCAAGCATAGCCGATCGGCTCTGGAGGGACCTGGCAGCGGCCGCCAGGGCCGCCACCACGTCGTTGTCCCGCAGGTCTTTCAGGTGTGGGTGTATAGACCCCAGCAGGCGCATGTGGGAACCGTGAGAACAATCTCGGCATCTTCGATTCTCATTGCTCATCTCTCCTTATTCCAGGCCCTCTGCCTCGCCGGCCATCGGTGAAGGATAATCGGGACGGCACTTACGAGGTGACGTACGAGCCGCCGCCAGAGGGCAGCATCTGCATCCCGCGGGTCACCTGGGGCGGAGTTGACATCCCCGGCAGGTAAGCGGGACGTGATGGGGGCTTATGGAGGGGCTAAGCGGGTTATGGGAGAATATACCTACCGGTCTAGTGTGGCTATGGAGATCCGAGAAGTGTGGTGGAGTTATAGAGGGATTTAAGAGATAGTGTACGGCCGTGTGCGCAGTTGTTATGGAGGGTAAAGGGCTGTGGTGGAGCTATAGAGGAATACGATTAAGAGGCGGGACGGGATTTGAATGCAGGAGCTGAAAGAAATTTGGGAGAGGAAGGATTAGAAAATTTATCAGATATTCGTGATGTCAAAGTCGCCTCATCGTTTATAATCTGTGGTTGGCGTTACTGTCTGAAATCGTCATCTACCGACAGTCCGTGGCGTCTGCCGGTTCGGCCCACCTGTGAGCCGTTCCGGGTACGTCTCTCCGGGCCGGGGGTATCCGGTCGCGGCCTGCCCGCCTCCCTGCCCACCCAGTTCACCATAGACACCAGGCAGGCCGGCTTCGGCGACCTCGAGGCGCAGGTCATGGTGAGTGAGGCCCAACGACCAGTCATAGGTCAGTGAGGGCAACCGAGTTGTCCTAAAGTCATAGGTCTGTCCTGGAAGAACTGCAGAAAGAGGTCAGAGTAATAGCTGGGTGTTACAGCGACTCATTCTAATCGCCAGCAGTAAGATAACAACCAGCAAGATGGATAAAGCAGTTAAGAAGGATTTATATTTTGTAGTGCTACGTTGCTGCAGGCTCTATTTGTCCTCAGTTTACTGGCTTAAAACTGCGGTTTGACGTCTTTTTTAACGTGTTTTACATACGCACTCATCCCTTCTCACGTCACGCAGGGTCCTGACCAGCAGCCGCGCACGGTGGAGATCATTGATAACGAGGACGGCACGTTCACGGGATGGTACACGCCGGACGACTGCGGCCAGTACCGGGTGGCCGTCCGGTACGGCGGTAGACCGGTAGCCACCGCCGCCGTGCCCGTCCAGGTTGTGCCCAGTGGACAGGTGGGTTAGGGGAGGGTGGTGTCAGTCAGAAAAGGATGGGATAGCAATTACGTATCGAGACCCGTAGCGCTAGAAAATGACACTCTTATGTCCAACCTCTAAAGGGGCTCGTTTTTTTTTTTTTGTATAGAAAACGTAATTTTCTTGTTGTCTATGGTTATTACCATTCTTTGCGATCATCTTGCACCAAGCCAAAGCTGTACCTGAAACAAATACATTCGATTGAGTTTCCTTTCAACTTCGTAATGTCAGTCGTAACAAAATGGCTGCTCTATGTTTAGCATTGCGATGTTTGTTATTTGTCCCTATGTTTTAGGGCCTTGTTTGTCCCTAAGTCTAGTGAATAAGATAGTAGATATTAGACTTTCGAGGTAATTTGCCAGTGACTTAACTCCCTCCCTTCCCCTCCCCCTGGTCAGGCGGACCGGTGCCGGGTGGAGCAGGGCGACCTCCGGGACCAGGTGATCAGCGTCGGAGAGGAGCAGTGTATCACCGTCGACGCCAAACGCGCCGGAACCGGAAACATCACGTGCCGGGTCCGCTCCGCATCCGGATCCAGGTCAGTCCACCGGAAACGACGCACTTCCGGTCCGGAAATTACCTCAGACTGATGTTTCTACATGTGATTCTTGATAATAAAGATAACCAAAGATAACCTAGTGATCAAATGACATTAAACTCCGGAAATGTGATTGTGACTCACGACATCTGATCGAGATCGATAGCAGCAAATAGTCGAAATGTCGTTTTCTGTTTGATGTATTAGCGATCATTGGCGAAATGCCGGCCAAAACAAATATCAGCGCTACTTAATTGCCGCCGTCTAACCTCTGCTCATTTATAAATCGTGCGAAAATGATGTGCCGATTTTGTTTGGCTCCCGGTTCGATGAGGCACGTGATGCTCCTGATGCAATCCTCATTAGGTGCCTCGAACCCCATTAGGGTTTATGACCTGCCGTTTGGCTGTGGATGCGGGGTCTGGCTGTAGGTCTACTCTGGGTGCTGAGGGCTTTTTATGCCTGGTATGAGAGACTGCTTCTCACTGGGCCCGTGTCTGGGGTTTTCAGCTGCGCAGATGTGGATGTCGAGGACAACAGAGACGGCACCTACAAGGTGTACTTTCGGGTGGACAAGCCCGGAGAATATGTGCTCAATATTAAGTTTGGCGGGGAGACCATTCCAGACGGACTGTACACATTCACGGTGAGTACCGACCCGAACTGGGCTGCTGTCACATAAGTAACCGATCAGGCTCGTAGCACCGGAAAGAGCGGAGTAGTCAATGACCTGCTTTGTGCCTAAGCGTACTATATTGTGATGCTATTTTAAAGTGTTTATGTAGGTATGATCCAATGCATAATATGCGGCGAATTGGCCTTTCTCGAGTAAATTGCATGACAAATATTCAGTTTCTTGAGTCCAAGATGCTGTTTGGTGTCTTGTGCTGGAGATCAGAATTGATTTACTAACGCTTCTATTATGACGTTTAAGTTATTTGACAACGTGCTAATCAACTGGAATAATGCCAATGACGACAGATTTGTGGTTTCCATGAAATCGAAAATAAACGAGCGCTACAGGAGCAGCCTGTCGATGTTCAATTCAATGTTTCCAATAAAACAGTTCGGCTGATGGCATCATATCATGTGAATGTCATGGAGGGCATTCGATGTAACTCAGTAGGTAGGTACTGAGTTGACCAACGGATAAAGCGTTCTATTTGAAACCCAGTGCAAGAAGTTTTTTTTTTTTTGACACTTATTCGTATCCCTTTTCACACAATAAAGTTTTATTTGCTATAATTTCACATGATTATAAAGCCTATGAAATATTCCCTTTAAAAATGCCGCCCGCTATACACTGCCGATAAGCGCGTCACATCCGTTGTTAGGAAGCCTGAACATTGTTCCATCACCTTTTATTTTCCCTTCGCATTGAAAATATCGTCTATTCTTCGACTAAGTGGACTACGGTGTGTCGCGACCAAATATAATACATTTTGAATAATTGTGTAACGTTCCCGACAGTGACATCGATCATTAATTAGGGTTCCGCAATTTGTTAATCGTCAGTGCCCACACCATGGCACGGCGCCGTTGCGTGAGGGTAAAATTCCGGAGCCATGGCGCTGAATCACCGTGCCTAACATTCCTTTCAGCCATCTTGGCAACTTCCTCGGACAGTTCCTGGCAGGATGCGTTACTGCGCCGCACTCGAGTACCGAGTGTAAACACGACAGATGCCTGCCTCACTATCCATAACACCCGACTGTATGTTAGGTGCAGTTTCCCCCGAGCTCCCACCGTCCTCCCCTGGCTGTGACCGGCCCGGCCGCGGCCGGCGGCTGCCCAGAGGCCACCGCTGCTGACCTCTGACCCCCGGCGCGGCCGCGGGCAGTATTTATTCCCGGACCGGGCTCCGTTGTATCGGCACCTGTTATGTTTGGCTGCGTCCAGTACCGCGGAAACGTCCGCTCCCCGTCGCTGCCCAAAATACGACCCGCCGCACCGGCCAGCCGCCGACGGCCGCCTTCCTCTGGCGACGGGAGATACATAGCCGCGAACAGCGCATTACGCCATAGCTCAGTGGCGGCGGTAAGCGCTGAAAGGCGTACTGGAAAAGCTCGACAAATACGAAGGCAAGGAGAGAAAGAGGACACCCATGTGTAGGCACATACGTTACCGATGTGCGACCAACTGTCACCGCATGTCACCGCTAATGGGCAGGTAAACACCGGTGATCCTCGGTCGGTGACAGCTACAGTGGGAGAGAAAACAGAATGGCTTGACAAGTCTCTCCGCCGTCAGCCTGAGGGCTGCGACGTTCCTGAGAGCAGCCCCGCTCGGGCGGCGAAAATCATGTACCTAATCGTGGAAGGTCCGAGAAAACTTTGGTGATTTCAGGAGCTGGCCGCGCTGAGCCGTGGAATGTCCGATGAAACGGTAGCTATTTCAGGAGCTAGCCGCGCTGAGCTTTGGAATGTCCGAGGTTTCAGGAGTTGTCCGCTGAGCGGTGTGGTCTGGGTCCTTTCAACAGCCGTGATCGGTCGGGACATTCGTCTGACCCGCACCCCACTGTGTGCCAAAGTAAACCCAGTCTGCGCTCTGGACTAGGTATGCGAACTAAATACCCCCGCTGCGGCTACTGTTTGACTCAGCGGGTGCAAACTGTGCATCTGCACGCGGTGCACGATTGTGCATAGGGTGCAATCGACCGCAATCCATTTAGCTGCTGACAGGTTTTGAGATGGAGCGATTTCACAGGCGCGTGATTTTCAGCTGCCACGCCACATTGCCACACTGCCACGACACCAATGGATGGGGCTAGAAGCCTCCATTCGTTGTTTAATGACATTGTTTATGTGGAGTGAGTGTCTGAGTGAAACTCTTGCTATTGTGTAATATGTATTGAACTTCATACAAATAAATTGTGAAAGCTCTGACCCGAAACGACTATGAGAGCAGCAAAATCATACACGAATGCTACACACATGGACATTTTTTGCTATTATATTTTCTAAGGATTTTAAGAACAACATTTTCAGCTAATTTAAAGTATTTAAACACCGATCGATACGAAACGAACGCCATCTATTTCTCTTTTTTTTACTTGTTCCATTGTCCTGCGAAAATATTGATTTTTTTCAACACCGGCTGACAGAACATCTCCTGCCAGCGTCATTTTCCAAGCTGCACATCGACTACTGGTTTGATGCGTTGTGACCTGAGTCTCGGCCATGGGCTGCCCCACGACTGTTTGCTGGTCTGTTTGGCACCCATTTCCCGTCTCATGCTAAGCCGACTGTCTGGTAGGTAAATATTTCCACCGTTTGTCCATCAGTAAACCATCTGTGTTAAGTTCGCCGTCCCTCTCAGCTTGTTTACGGCACCAGTTACTCCCAGCGAGTGGCAGGTGCAGGTCACATCGAGCACGCCGTTACACCGGCCCGGTGTATGCGGATCGGGATCAAAACTGCTCGTTACGCTTTAACCAGGACCAGGGTGAGCTAGACTGTCTAAATTGAAAGTCCAACTGATCTTCATTTATTTCCTCGGATATAATATAAACGGCTAACGAATAGGACTAGTGGCTCGACTGATCTTTGCCTTCCGAAGCGTGTCAGACATGTTTGAAGCTACTTGGCGTCTTTCCAGGCAGCGCCTCATACAGATGCGCTGTGTGCTAAAACGGCGGCAAAATGCGGCCCTCTATGCTCCCGACACCGGCTTGTTGTTCCTATAAGCAGGTTCATTGTACGAGCGCACAGCGTTCGAGCAGTCTTGGACTGGTTCTTGTTCCAGGACGGTCGGTAATTATGGCTTGGACGGGTTCGAATTCAGAGCGCCGGTTTTCATCGTCAAGAAAGAGCTTGTGCACCAAGTTCTTCGTGTAACCATGGGAAGTATTTCGGCATTGCATTTCCTAAATGGCGGACGCTGTTGGCTCTATTCTGCTGGTATTGCGCGGAAGAAGATGTCGTGGACGGTCTGCGGAAGGTGGTTATGAAAGATACACCGCGGCACAAATGATAACGCCCATAAGCGGGTCGTCACAACGCTGGGCCGCACCGAGCGGCGTGGTTCCTATAGTTGTCAACAGATGGCTGCAGCTGTGTAACGCCTGCACACTGCGGGCATGCTGTGCCGCACTACACCGATCTCCCGCCGCGATGGCATATGTCGTCTTTTAGTGCTCGTGCTGCGCTGGAAGACGTCATGTGCCGTGTTGAAAATACTATAGGAAAATACAGGGATTCTGTTGTTGCCTGTTTCCGACACAGATATTTGATCGTTAATCAGAACCTGTTTTAGCACGCAGTGAAATTATGAAGTAATACACAAGACGACACTTTTCATGCAAGCACATTTTCTTCATCACAAGCCACAAGACATTGCCGTCCCAGTCATTTCAACAGTTTCAGAGGTCAATTAATTGAATCACTCCCAAGGTCAAACTCAGGAAAAAGGTAAACACGTCTTGTCACGTCTTGTGAGTTGTATTCCATGATATTATTTGCCTTACGCAATTAGTTGCATGCACAAACTTTTTTTCGTCTATCGTTTCTACAACCGATTTAAAAATACCCGCTACCAGCGCGCATATCAGGGATGCCAGCAGTTTTTGTGTCCACGGTAAACAGGACTATTTGTGCTAATTTACATGGGTTCCGTCTGGCACACACCGGTCGCTGCCTATCTGTGTGGCCTCAAACTGTCACACACCGAGTGGCGGGACCGGGCACACGCGAGAGGATTCAGAATGAGGTGGGGTCGGTAGAGCTGGAATGAACTGATGAACATGAAGGTGGCTATTGGGGGATGGCTCAGGGCAGAGGAAGCACTAGTTGGGACCTTCCATAGCGACTCGAGGTCAAACTGCATAGTTACTTGGGTTAGTCTCACTTGAAAATAGCGACTTACATAACCACGAGCCAGGCCTCAATGGTGCTCCAGTATGCTATTTCTAGTTAAAAAATGCCGGGACAATGTCTAGCTGGTCACTGGGTCAGTACCGAAAATTACCTCCCTCTCACCATTCTTACCATTCCAATGTCTGCAAACGCTCTCCCTTTGTTACCAAGTCAGTAGCTCTGGCAGCGGGGCCAGCTCTGCCCCGGGCGGTACACAGGCGTTGCGGAGCGACCGCACCGCTGCCGGCCTTCGGTGCGCCTGTCGACGGCCGTCCGGTCGAGCTGGGGCTGACAGCCGCCGCGCAGCGCCGAGCACCGCCGGGCGCCACCGCAGCAGCCAGGCGCGGCTACCTGGACGGTGTTTCACGGCCCGACGCTGCAGTGCGCTACGCTGCGCTGCGCTGCGCTGCGCTGCTGTATTAGTGCGGCATTTGAGACGGATTCGGCTTGTCTATTCAGCGTTGCGAGCGTCCGAGTTTGTTGATGCTTTCATGGAAACCCAGTAAACCGCAGCGCGCGCAGCGCAGTGCCGTGAAACAGTGCCCTGACGAGGTCTGGCTATACCATATCGCTGGGATGGGGCTGCTGGACAGTGGAAATGCTTCTCCGCCGCCGCTGCTGCTGTTTCGGTCCCCCGACGGAAGGAATCAGGATGGCCGACCACTCCCGCTGAGGGTTTAGGGCAGGTGCGTTGACTGTCACCTGACGCCACCTCTAACAGAGGACGCTGGCTGGAGGGCAGCGATTACAGTGCATGCCGCTTCCTGCTGGCCGTCTGCAGTGGCGCCACGGT